AAGGAACCGGAAAAGGATAAAATATTTGGCTACTCGACATCATGATTTCGCATCCCCTTTCCTTAGGCTATCACCCATGATTCCCTCAACCGATGAATGACTCAACCCCTAGGGTCAAAAGGTCACCCCAAAGGTTGTAACGTACGGCAAAAAGGGTTAAGGTAGGCTAAATTTAAAATTTGGTGGTTAACCTAAATTGTGAAGCAAAGATTGCGCATTTCCTTACACCATAACTAAGCAATCACCAAACTAAAATACCAACACCCCCAAGCTTATTCAAAGCTAAGATCACCAACATATACACAAAAAGCGTGAGAACGCTTCCCCCCCCCCCTCCCCCAAGGTTAGATGGAGCATTGTCCTCAATGCTAAAAAAGGAAGAGTACTCACATAAAAATATTTTTGCATTTTTCACTTTATAATTTTTTTTGTTTTCTTTCTTTAGTAATGTTTGACCTCGCCTCTTTTAACTTTGGACGACTTTTATTTTCAAACTTGCATTTATTTTGTTCTTGCCTTTTTGAATTGGGACGACTTTTTTTCTAGACATTTGCCATTATTCACAATGTATATACAACACAAACTTGCTCATAAACTTGAACCAAGTTCCAAACTTATAGACCACAATCTCCAACAACAATGACCATTGCTTTACAAAAACCAAAAATGAAATTGAAAATGAAACAAAAGGCTCAAGAACTAAAGATGTGGCTTGAAAAGAAGGGAAAAAGGCTCAAAGGGCTAGCAAGTAGGAAAATGTATCCCAAAAACCAAAAGTAAAAAGAAGGACACTATCCTAGAAAAAGGAAAAATACCTCACCGAAAAGATGCCTTTGTCCTCCCTAGGTGGTTCGGTACGGTCTCGGTCTTAGGAATCATACGTTAAGATTCTAGATTAGGTTTGCGAAAGTCAAGGATCCACGCCGCTCATGCAAGAATATGTTAAAAGCATGAAAAAGTATGAATCTCACATGGTTGTAGCAAAAACTCACTAAGGTTGTCAAGTCGAAGATAGGAAGCAACTACCAACATGCCACAAACAAGTAGAATCCGGCTTCATGATCCCACTAGTTCTAACCAACTACCTTAGCATGCTTTATCCTAGAATCAACCAAACGTATTCTCAAACCGTGCATACCATGACCACCAAGTAAGATTATTATTCAAAATCAAGAGTCCATTGTTTACAAGTCCAAGTCAAAATAGAAAGAGTGAAAAATAAAACCTCAAAAAGCTATGTACAAAACCAAGAAAAAAAAGAAAAAAAAAAGAAAAGAAAATAAAAGATGGAAGGCAAAGATAAAGGAAAAGTAGGAGAACAAATAAAAGGACAAAGATGCAATCATAACACATATTTCCCAATCGACATACAAACGGTCAAATGGCCACATCGCCAAAGTCCCCAAACACACTAGGTGTTATAATCATACATCCTCGAACCGTTCAACTCCCCTAAAACTAATCCTAATCTAAGCAACTAAGAAAAGTAAAGAAATAAAATTAAAGAGATAAAACAAGAAAGGTCTCACCAAGCATCTAAGTTATTCTACAATAACCAAGGGGCAAGATCGACCACCTTCAAGAAGCTTCGAAGGCCAAAGCATAAGCTACGAGCAAGATGAGAAAAAGAAAAGGTCTATATACAAAATGAAATTGTTAGTAACTTCCATACAAAATCAAACAAAATAAAGCTTACTCGAAAACTATGTACAAACACCTAAAGAAACCATCATCATCATTGAAAGAAACCTCAAAACATCATCATCAATACAAAGACAACAAGATAAACATCATACCAACTAGACTACCAAGAGCGAAGCAAGAAAAATCCACCAATGCCTTTTCAAACACATCCCCATGAGTCCAAGGTGCCTCCCAACCTACCCTAAAACATCATATTTGATTCCCCCCTCACAATATAAGGGCATCGACCACGATGCTCAAAAACATGCAAAGCTAAAATGGAGGAAACAAAAAGGGAATCAAACAACCAAGGGGGAGACTATTGGCCACTAGGACCGACATCACCATCACCCACATCCAAACCTCCGGTAAAACCGGGAGGGAACCTATAACGACCCTTGAAAAGGTGTAGTTGGGATGTGGACAATTGGTCAAATGGCTCGGGATACATACAGAGCTCGGGGTGAGTGGGGTGAACATAGTAGTAGGGGTCACCCCTATAATCACTCCCCCCCGAAACTCGGTAATCGTAATGACCGGACTCATCTGGGAAGTCACGCCTTAGCTCATTAGGGTGTGTAACCCCGGGCCAATAGGGGTACGTGGGGAGGTTGTCACCACCACAAGATGGCACAGGCCCCTGTTGGGGCGGCACATATGGGTAGTTCACCTGAGGAGTGACCTCCTTCCTACGCACACTAGCGTCATATAGGGCGCTAGTTTGAAAAGACAAGGTTTGATGGTTGGAATACATACCTTGCATGCTCAATTGTATGCGCTCTATATGCTTGCGCATAGCCTCCATCTCACAGAGATAGGCATCCCCTTTGTAGTAATGTTGTTTATTTTGTTGTCTTCTTCTTCTTCTTTGCTGCGGTTGTTGTTGTTGTTCATTTTTGAATTGTTGATGTTGTTGTTCTTGGTCTAGTTCTTCTTCTTCTTCTCCATCTCCACCTTCTCCTTCCCCACCTTCTCCATCATCATCATCATCATCGGCACCATCATTCACATCATCATCATCCTCCTCCATATCATCCTCAACTCTCCCATCGTCCATACGAATCCTCCAAACAATCTTATCCTCTCGAGTAATTGAGGTGGCAGCCGGGTTTGGGAGTAAACAATGGTGTATATTACACACTAGCCAAGAATAAACACCGTCTCTCTTAGTTCTAGTAATGAAGCGCAAAGTGTTAATTTGCTTCAAATCTTGATACATATCTTCACTCCCTCCAACCGGAGTGCAAGACCTCAAGAAACGTTCTTTCTCGAAATAATGCACCAATCTAGTAACCATACCTCCACAATGTATCTCACCCGCTTTCTTCCCATTAATGATTACCTAACAACAATTCATGAAAATATACCCAAAATTCAACCTCAACCCCAAATCTGGCCTCGTAGCCATCCAAAGAAGTATGATCTCCTCCCTCAAAAGCTTCCCAAGATCTTGCTTATTAAACACGACATATCCAAGAACCCGATAAAGAATTCTAAGAGCTGGGTGAATGATCTCGCTAGCAAGCAAATTCTTTGAGTCAAAGACCTTAATTTTCGCAATGGCTCTCCACCATGCAACCTCATTGTAATCAAACTTTAGAAGGGAAACCAAGGGCTCATAGATATAGGTATTGGGGTTGAAGCCAAAGGCTTTATTGAATTCGGCAAGGTTCATGGTATGCTTGGAATTGAATAGTTGGAAAGAGATGATATAGTCGGTATCCCCCGCCCTATTGTACTCAAAGGTGGAGAAAAACTCAATGCATGGTTCCAAATAGGTTCGCGGAGATGAATTTACAAACTCATCCAAACAAGGGTTACAGAGTAAGATGTCAAGATCGACATCAACTCCTAATTTGACCATATCATCGGGAAGATGGTTGCCAGTCGGTCTAAATTCTGGGATTTCCTTTTGTTATAGTTAAGGATATGTTTAGACCGATTGTGAAATTTGAGGGGAGGTAAGGAAGAGGTGGGGTATCATTTGGTTGTCAGGAGGTTCGGTGTTTGAAGGTTGGCTACGAGAGGATTGGCCTTGGGAGGATTGGCCGGGGGATTGGTTTGAAATTTTCTTGCTAATCTTTACTTTACTTAACAAATCCATAGTCAAAAGCTCAACCCACACAAGAAACTACACAATAACCCTAAATCCCTACCATTACTACCACCAATTTATCAAACCACCTTCACAATACCACCCAAAACCACCACAAACTACAAAGTACCTGTTACAAGCAACAAAACAACCAAAAATCCAAACAGCAACCAACAACGTTAACAATCCATCAAAAAATAAGCACAAATCACTAAAAAAAATTCCAAAATAACCATACACACTACCATAGACATCATAGTCATGCTAAATCAAGGAAAACATAAATCAATGTATTATAATCAATTGAAATTGACAAAAATAAAACAAAGGTTAGAAGTTTACCAAGATTGAAAACTCAAACAAAGCTCAAAATCCCGTCAAGGACTCGAATTTCCCGAAAAACCACGAGAAAAGAGACTAATCTTGATGAAAATGGAGTATGATGGAAATTGTGATGGAGAATTAAGTGAAAAAAAGGATGAATTTGAGTGAATTTGTCTGATAAAGATGATTTGGGGGTTAGGGTTTGAGAGGACGAAGAGAGAAAAAGGATAAAAATAAGGGGGAATTGAAAAATAAGAGAGGAGAGAGAGAGAGAGAAGAAAAATCGTCCCCCTTGAAACCATGCAAGCCGCGCCCTCTCCCGACTTCCTTGCGCCCGCGGGGAATCGCCCGCGCCTGTGTAGAGACCGAGGGACCTTATTGGAAAATTTACTCGATTTTACCTTTAACTGGGGCCGCGCCCTCTCCAAAGTTGCCACGCCTGCGGGGAGCCCGCGGGGCAACCGCAGAGAGTTCCTGATCCTTTTTTTGACAAAATACGTCGTGCCCTCTCCAATACCAACGGCCTCTCTAAGACATTCGCGCCCATGGGGAGATGGCGTAGAGACCGCGGGAAGTTCTTGATCGAATTTTCCCTTTTTTAAAGCAAGGGCACCCGAGGCCTCTCCAAGCCCACAAGGTCTCCTCTCCCCTACACTCCAAATTCTCCTTTTGCCATCCTCATCAAACACATTAAGTCAATAGTTGATGAATGAAGGCAACCTACAAAATAAACCAAAAACACAAGGAAAGGTAAGAGCAAAAATCAACAAAGAAAAATATAAGAAAGGATAGAAAAGAGAGTTGAGGTGACAATCCGGTTGCCTCCCGTAAGCGCTTTTCTTTAACGTCGTTAGCTCGACGTTTACCACCCATTCAAGGTGGCTTGAAGAGAATCATTTTATGACTTGAGCCGACGACCATTAACCATAAAAGAAGATGAGGGATCCAAGGGAGAAATCCCCATGGCACCATTAGCAAAAACATCTTTCACCAAGAAAGGGCCACTCCATCTTGACATGAACTTTCCGAGAGATAACTTCATTCTTGAATTGTAGAGGAGGACTTTATCACCAACAAAAAGCTCTTTCCTCTCAATAAGCTTGACGTTATCTTCCTTGGAACGAGCTTTATAGGTGCTAGCACAATCATAAGAATCAAGTCTAAGATCCTCTAGCTCATGAAGATCCAACCACCTTTTCTCCCCTGCACTTTCTAAATCAAAGTTTATCTTCTTGATTTCCCACAAAGCACGGTATGCATGATTTGCCATAGACAAGGCGATATGGAGTGGTGCCAATAGGTGTCTTGAAAGCCGTTCTCTAGGCCCAAAGAGCATCATCCAACCTATCCGACCAATCATTTCTATACCTTGCAACTGTCTTTTCAAGAATAAGCTTTATTTAACAATTGGAGACCTCGACTTGGCCACTCGTTTGAGGATGATATGGAAGGCTAAAGCGTTGATGAACCTCATGTTTCCTTAACATCTTTTGGAAGGCATTGTGAACAAAATGAGAACCGTTATCGCTTATCACAGCCTTAGGCACACCAAACCTTGGGAAGATGATTTTTTGTAACAACTTCAATACTACTTTGTGGTCATTTGTTGGGGAAGCAATGGACTTAACCCACTTAGAAACATAGTCCACACCCACAAGTATGAATTGATTCCCATATGAAGATGGGAATGGCCCCATGAAGTCAATCCTCCATACATCGAACACCTTCAACTCAAGAATAGGTTGTTGAGGCATCTCATTTCACTTGGAGAGATTCCCAACTCTTTGACATTGGTCACATGGCTTGACAAAGCCCCATGAATCCTTGAAGAGATGTGGCACCACAAACAACATTGAAGAACCTTAGTAGCGGTTTTGGAAACACCCATATGGCCACCACTAGGATCCGAATGGCACATCTTTAGAACACTAGGAACCTCTTCATTTGGAACACAACGCCTAAGCAAGCCATCAACCCCTCGTTTACAAAAGATGGGATCATCCCACAAGTAATGTCTTGCCTCCCTCTTGAGTTTCTTTCGTTGAGTTTATCCCTAATCTCTATTTCAAAAGTTTGTAGTTTAAGCACCCAACGAATCAACCTTGGCTTGGACTCCTTCTTGGCAAAGAGATACTTGAGAGCCACATGATCTGTGAAGACAATGGTCTTGGAACCCAATAAATAACACAAGAATTTCTCAAAAGAGTGAACAATGGCCAATAATTCTTTTTCTGTTGTTGTGTAATTCTTTTAAGCCCCATTTACTGTCTTGGACATATATTTAATCACATGAAGCTTCTAGACCAAACGACGTCCCAAAACACCTCCAATTGCCCAATCACTAGAATCACACATCAATTCCAAGGGTAGATCCCATCTTGGGGCTTGAACAATGGGGGTAGAGATTAGGGCCTTCTTCAATCTATTAAATGCCTCCAAGAATTTACCATTAAAAACAAATTCAACATCTTTTTGAAGAAGATCATTAAGGGGCTTGGCAATGAGTGAGAAATCCTTGATGAATCTTCTATAGAAGCCTGCATTTCCTAAAAATTATCTCACTCCCTTGACATTCACCGGAGGTGGAAGCTTCTCAATAACCTCGATCTTGGCCTTATCCACCTTTATTCCTTTATGAGAGATTTTGTGTCCAAGCACTGTTCCTTCCTCCACCATGAAGTGGCACTTCTCCCAATTCAAGACAAGATTAACCATCACACACCGTGCCAAATATTTCTCAAGATTCACAAGGCACTCTTGAAATGAAACCCCACCTACGGAGAAATCATCCATAAACACCTTAATTTCTTCCTCCAACATGTCTCCAAAAATGCTCATCATGCACCTTTGGAAAGTTGCGGGGGCATTACAAAGGCCAAAAGGCATTCTCCTATAAGCAAAGGTCCCATAAGGCATCTGAATGTTGTCTTCTCTTGATCATAGGGGTGGATTGGGATATAGAAAATCCCGAATAGACATCAAGGAAGCAATAAAACTTATGCCTTGTTAGTCTCTCTAACATTTGATCAATAAATGGAAGGGGAAAGTGATCCTTCTTGTTGGATGTATTTAGACTTCTATAGTCTATACACGGCCTCCAACAAGTGACCGTCCTAGTCGGAATGAGCTCACCTCTCTCATTCTTGACTACGGTCATACCCCCCTCTTAGGAACGACATGAACGAGAGAGACCCACCTAGAGCTTGAGATGGGGAGTATGATTCCCGCATTCAAAAGCTTGGTGATCTCTTTTTTTTACCACCTCTCCTATTTGAGGATGTAGCTTTCTTTTTCGTTCAATAGAAGGAAGGGTACCTTCCTAAAGCGTTATGTGGTGTGTACACAAAGCGGGGCTTATACTCTTAAGATCATCAATAGTATAGCCCAAAGCACCTTGGTGCTTTCTCAAGACACAACATAATGCTTGAGCTTGACTTTCACTCAAGGATACACTAACAATTACGGGGTAAGTGGAATTTGGGACTAAGAATTCATACCTAAGGTGTGATGGTAGAGGTTTGAGCTCTACCATAGGCACACCTTTACCTTCTTTTGTTACGGCCTCTTGCAAAGCTTCATGGCTTGAGATCTTCAAACATAATTGTTCATCCACTTCCTCCATGCTTCCATTAAGCAATTCCTCATACAATGGCATCTCCTTGCATGGTGCACCTAGCTTATCTTTGTTCAACAAAAAATTCTCAAGAGCATCGTTAGAGGTGAACAAGTGATCATGCATGGAAGTCACAACATGATCAAGAGAATCAATCGTCATGCAATTTTCTAGAGAAGAACTTGGATATTTCATGCTTTCATTCAAATCAAATTCTATGACCTCATCTCCTACCTTAAGCAAAATCTTTGCACTCTTGACATATATCATAGCACCCGAGGTAGCAAGAAAGGGTTTACCTAGAATGATAGGAATGGTAGCATCTTCATCCATTTCAAGCACAACAAAATCCACTTGGAACACAAACTTCCCAACCCTCAATGGAACATCTTCCACTTTACCTTTTGGAAACTTGATTGACCTATCGGCTAGTTGTAAGGTAATGTTGGAAGGTAAGAGTTCCCCTAGATCAAGTCTTTGCTAAACCGAATATGGCAGTAGGCTTACACTAGCTCCTAAGTCACATAGGGCATTATTAATTTGCATATTGTTAATAGCACAAGGGAAGGAGAAGTTTCTGGGGTCTTTCAACTTGGGTGGCATTTTGTTCATGATGATCGCACTACAATTTTCAACATCACAAGTCCTTTTCCCACTGAAAATGTCTTTGAGGAATTTGGCATAGTTAGGCATTTGGTTGATCACATCGGTGAAAGGTAGAGAAAGGTGAAGTTGTTTGAGCATATCAATAAATCTCCCAAATTGCTCATCCAATTTGTGTCTCATTAATTTTTGGGGATAAGGGAGCTTGGGTTTCACAATCTCTTTCTTTACTCTCACCTCTCTAGGTGTCTCAACCACAACCTCATCTAAAGATGCTCTATCTCCCTCATTCTCAACCAAAGCTTCCTTGGGGACCTCTTTCTCTTCACTCTTCTTGGCAATCTCTCCTCAAGAGCCTTACCAGTCTTTGTAACAACAGCATTCACGGGTTTCTTAGGATCTAGGCCTTGGGAAGTTAAAGAAGAAGGGCTTGCTTGGTCTTTCAAAGCATTAGCAAGTTGAGAAATTTGGTTTTCGAGCATTTTGTAATGGGTCATCATATCATTGAATTTCTTGTCACTAACGGCCATGTATGTTTTCAACAACTTGGTTTGATTTTCAATTATTTCCTCCAAATTTGTACTAGAAAAAGAAGGTTGTGAATAGGAATTTTCACCTTGAGTCATTAGAAAAATTCCGAGTAGGGGGCCCCTTTGTGAATTATTTTGAAAATAGCCCTTACCTTGATTGTTCCAATTACCCCTATTTGATTTTTAACATAACCTTGATTATGGTTTCCACTACCTTGGTTATGATTTCCATAACTTTGGTTTTGATTACCATAATTTTGGTTTTGATTTTGACTACTATAACCTTGATTGTTATAATTACCACGAGAACCTTAGTTCCCTTGGTTCCTATAACCACAACCTTGGTTATAGTTGTCAAAATTACCTTGGTTTTGTAATTCCTATTTCATCGACCTCTTTGATTATCAAACCTTTGCACATTATTATTTGACACATAGTTCACATGCTCACTCTCATTGTTGTCAAAATCATCACCACATTCCAAAGAAGCATGAGGGCAATTATAAGAGTCATGATCATAAGATCCACATGCATCACAAAACAAGCAACCACTAGGCATATTTTTTTAGAAGGGAGGGGGTTGAGAGTTAGAAAGAGTACCTTTCCCCTTAAATTGGGAGGGACGATTCGATGCTTTAAAAGAAGAAGAGGTTTCCAATTTGGCCTTGATTGCGGTCATTTCTTTTCCCAAGTTTGTTATTTGTGAGGATAGGTTGTTATAGGGAATATTTCAAGCATTATCCCTAGCTTCAACCCCACTGTAATCATACACTAAAGTACGGTGGCGTCCAAAAGGAAAGAAGATAGAGCAAAAGAGTCGCCAACAAGTTTTTTAGGAACTTGTAAACCGTTCACGAGGTGAAGGTTACACCCCTTAACGATCCAAGAGATCGTTAACTCCAATAGGTCTGGAACAATGACTGATAGTTCGGGGATGAAGGTACAAATCCAACCTAAAAGAGATTGAACCTGCCCTAATAATAGGCCTCTACTTTATTCTGATCGTACTCATGTGCGCTTTCTAACTAACATGCAATCAATAGGATTAACCCTAAACCTGTTTATCAATGTTGGCTGAATATTAATGTATAAATAAGTCTATTATTGACGATCACTTAAATTATAATCAAATTAAACCTAACAAGATTATTAACTATCTTATTAAGCATGATTACAAGTACCAATTCCCTTTAAACATGCATAAAAGGCGTGATCAAACATTAAAAATAAATATATCAAGCAACATAATAATAATCAAATTATATATATAAGTTATACGTCAATTAATAAATAACATGAAATAATTCATAAATTAACAAATTACGTAAAATAATTCGTAAATTAACAAATTATGTAAAATTATATAATTCGACACAACAATAATCATAATCATAATCATAATTATCATAATCATGTTCATGTTAAAGCATAATAATAGCAAGATCCTATGCATGATACTAACAAGATTAATAACAAATTCTAGCATGTCACAAAACAATAAAGATCAAAGCTTTAACCCTAACATGATACTATAATGATATTAGGAAAGAAAATAAAAGGCATCGCAGGAATCAGGATTGATATAAGTAAATCTCCCTAAATATCATATTAAAGAAATCATCCTAAAATGATACTAGGAAAATCCTAAACATGATACTAGGAATCAATAAAACAATCTAAGCATGATTTCTATATCATAAAATCAATAAAACAATTAAAGCACTTACTTGGATACCTCGTATCTCTTTCTAATAACAAAATACATGCGTTAGTAACTTCAAGGAAAATAATAATCAAAACAATTAAATCAAATAATTGAAATAGAGATTTGGGACCAAACCCTCAAAAATTAAAACCTTTCACGTCTAAGACTAAGGCAACTTCGAACTTGGCTAGGTATGAGGAATTGCGTTTGTAAAAGAGCTAATGTATGAGGAATTGCGTTTGTAAAAGAGCTAGGCTTAGAAAGAGACAGAGAATCAAGAAATTCTTGATGAGAGTTGATGAT